GGGGTGGCCAGGTGATTTAGGGGTGCCCAGGGGTGCCCCAGGATGATTTAGGGGTCCCCAGGTAAGGTTGGGGTGCCCAGGTGAAGTACCCAGGTGATTTAGGGGTGCCCAGGGGTGCCCCAGGATGATTTAGGGGTCCCCAGGTAAGGTTGGGGTGCCCAGGTGAAGTACCCAGGTGATTTAGGGGTGCCCAGAGGTGCCCCAGGATGATTTTGGGGTGCCAGGGGTGTCTCACTTGTAGATGGTGACATGAGGGGACAGGGGCCGGTTGGACCTGGTGTTCTTCTCCCAGAAGCGACTCATCTCCTCCCTGGCCGTGGTTCCCATCGGGATAACACTGGAAAAACAGGGATACAGGGCGTGGGGGGCTCTGAGATCCCACCTCACACACCCTGAGAAGGTGCTCCCTGCTCCAAGGAAAGCCTTGGAATCGACTCTTCCCACCATTACCCGGGAATTACCGACCCTGGGAGCCCCAGAGGAGCGAAAAAACCAAGGAATTCTCCCCAGTCCCAGCAGTGGGAAGAGCAAAATAAATGAGATTTGGGGGGGGCTCCCAGATCTACCGGGGGGAAGGGGTCCGGGAGACGCAAGAATTGCGGCAAAAAATATCCCTTAGATGGATCCTTCCAGGGAAGAACTTAAGCCCAGTGGCTCCCAGTTGCTCCCAGTAACTCACTGCTGCAGGGACAGGCCGGGTCCCAGCCGGGCCAGGAGGCAGCGCCGCCCCACCCCCCTGGAAAAGAAGAAGGAAAAGAGTTGGGAATGACCCAAAAAGGGGGGTGGGGGTGACATAGGGGGGGTGACACAGCCGGGGATGGATTGGGGTGACACGGGGGAGTGGCAGGGGGGACACGGGAGGGGTTTGGGCGGGGACACGGGGGGAGTGCCGGCGGTGACAGCCCCCAGGACCTCCGCGTCCCCCTGTCACACGCCGTGACCCTCCACGTCCCACAAACCCCTCCAATGTCCCCCCAACCCCGGCAATGTCCCCCCCGTGCCCCTCCGGTGTCACCTCAGCGCCAGCGCCGCCATCTTGCAGCCGCCGCGCCGGAAGCGGCCGTGACGCAACTTCCGGTCCACAGCGCGTGCGCGGGGGAGACGGATAAAAATGGGATAAAAATGGGATAAATCGGGATAAAAATGGGATTAAAGTGGGGTAAAAACGGGATAAAAATGGGGTACATCGGGGTAAAAATGGATTACATCTGGATAAAAACGGGNCCAATGTTTCCCATTCCCGTGCCAGCCCCTCACCAGGTGCCGGATGCCGTTCCAGGTGTGGTAGGAGAGCGGGAATGCCAGCAGGAACTTGGCAGAGCAGAGCAGGGCGGGGCCGAGGCTCAGGGCCCTCACCTGGGCCAGGTAATGGGGGAAGGACTCCGGGAGCAGGAGGGCGGCCAGGCCGAACAGGGACACGCCTGGGGGACACCTGGGGGTCACCCCCTGCCCTGGCACCCCCCGGCCACCCCCTGGGGTCCCACTGTGGTGACACAGCCCAGGCCACCCCCTGGATCTGCAAGGACCCAAACAGGGCAGGCCCCAACCCTCCAAGGACCCCCAGTGTCCCCAATTCGGTGACACAGCCCAGGCCACCCCCCTGGCTCTGCCAGGACCCAAACGGGGGTGGCCCTGGCCCTGACGTCCCTCTAAGGACTCCCAAACCCCTGTCCCAGGGATGTCCTGGGGTGTCCCATCATGTCCCAGGGGTGTCCCACCATGTCCCTGGGGTGTCCTGCTGTGTCCCATCATGTCCCAGGGGTGTCCCACCATGTCCCAGGGATGTCCTGCTGTGTCCCATCATGTCCCAGGAGTGTCCTGGGGTGTCCCATCATGTCCCAGGGGTGTCCCACCATGTCCCAGGGATGTCCTGCTGTGTCCCACCATGTCCCAGGAGTGTCCTGGGGTGTCCCATCATGTCCCAGAGTGTCCCAAGGGTGTCCCAGGGGTGTCCTGGGAGCATCCCAAGGGAATCCCATCATGTCCCTGGGGTTTCCCACCATGTCCCAGGGGTGTCCCACCATGTCCCTGGGGTGTCCCACCATGTCCCAGGGGTGTCCCACCATGTCCCATCATGTCCCAGAGTGTCCCAAGGGTGTCCCAGGGGCGTCCTGGGAGCATCCCAAGGGAATCCCATCATGTCCCAGGGGTGTCCCACCATGTCCCAGGAGTGTCCTGGGGTGTCCCATCATGTCCCAGGGGTGTCCCACCATGTCCCTGGGGTGTCCCACCATGTCCCAGGGATGTCCTGGGGTGTCCCATCATGTCCCAGAGTGTCCCAAGGGTGTCCCAGGGGTGTCATGGGAGCATCCCAAGGAAATCCCATCATGTCCCAGGGGTGTCCTGGGGGTGTCCTGGGTTGTCCTGGGAGTATCCCACAGGTGTCCCACCATGTCCCAGGGGTGTCCATTCACATCCCACATGTCCCAGGGTGTTCCAGGGGTGTCCTGGGTTGTCCTGGGAGTATC